GAGGTTGAAGTTCAGCGCATTGAACCACACATGACCATAGAGGAAAGAAAGCAACGGATGACAGCACAAGAGGAGGCATGGAAGACGAAGGGCAAGGGTGTGGCCAACGACTCCACCCAGTTCACCGTGGCAGCGCGTATGGTCAAGAAAGGTTGGTTGACGCTGGCAGCCCCTAGCTTCTGCTGGCTTGTGATGTTCTGCTTCCTCATGGGTAAAATCTCAACATGTTAAATATACTCACTCAAAACCAGTGCCAACCTCCAGGTGAGGATTTAATTACGCTTGAGCCGGCTAGATCTGCCACCATTTTACTGAGGCGGAAAATTGTGTAATGGCCCCTATTATCGCATTAGCAGAGGACTTGGCTGGCAGCTGTAACTCGGGAAGCTGAAGAGCCATCTGACTCTCGGTCAGATAGGAGGACTGAGATTAGTGTCAGACCAAGAGTTTATTCTGCTTGGAAAACTGTCATCAGTTATTGCTGGTGTTGGTCTATGCTCAGCCTGGTCACTGCAAATTATCCTCATTATGAAAACAGACTAGCTTTGAAGCACTTCTGCTCTGAAAACTGAATGAATCCAATCAAATACAAACCAGTCTGATTAAGACACCTCCCTCCTTGCCTTGATGATAGCCATCCTTACTTTGCTCTTCAGGTTGTTTCCAGGGCAACAAAGCCTCCAGATATGGAGACTTTAAACAACCCTAGATGTGATAGCCCAAAGCTTCATCCTAATTATTCAGCACTTTCCCAGCTCTCTATGCTTCCTGCCCCCCTCAAAATCTGCTTTCTTGTGGTGTCTAACAATTCTTAGTCTAAATTCTAAGGTGGAGGCGTCGCACTTGACAAGCTTTGAAGATCAAAAAGAGGATTGAAAAAATGGGCACTGCACATTTGTGCCCAATTATTGTGGAGCTACTTCCATAATGGCACATTCCTATTCAGCTCTTTTGCATGCTTAGTTCTTGCTTGTGTTCCAGGTCTTGCAGCACCCTCTGCCATCAGCCCCACCCAGTCTCCAGTTTCCATGAAAAACAAGACTACAACACCAGCTATCTCCAAGCCCCAGGAAGGTCAGAGGTGGTCCTAATGTCATTGATGTGTTATGATGTGCACCAAGGAGGCACTGTCCTCTCTGCCTAAGGCAAGGGTGCCCAACTCCAGTCCTGGAGGGCCGGAGCCCTGTGCAGCTTAGTTCTTTCCCTGTTCCACCATAAATGATTCAGCTCAAGAGCTGTGTGGTAATTAGCACAAGGAGTTGAATCAGGTGTGTTAAATGAGGGGATACCCAAAAATGTGCAGGGCTCTGGCCCTCCAGGACTGGAGTTGGACACCCCTGGCCTAAGGGTTGCAGTTGAACTGTCATTCCTGCTACCTACATGTGAACCTGAAGGAAAGGATCTTTTATATAAGTCTTCTATAGGTTCACACTCAAATGGCTTGTGGGAAATTTATTTGAAGGTGTTGGAGTTCTGACCTCACATCTTCAATCTGTCAGTCATAATCCTAGTCCAAATGCCTGCTGTGACCCTGTACTGTGGAATCTCAAGACCCAGTTAAGACCATGTAACTGCTAAAGCATAGCAAAGTATTTACAACCGTGGAAGTCTTTAAAGCTTTCTCAGAATTGATGGATTTTTGGTTTATTGCTTTTTCAGAAATTGAGGCCAGGCCTGGAATGAACTTAGAATCTGACAAAAAGCTTGACAAACTTGAATCATTCTTGGGGAAGCTCAACAACAAATGTGAGTCTGCTTCGAATTGCTTGTGAAGGGCTTGCAGACGTCTTTCATTCCCTGTGGAAAACACTTTTTTTTTCCCCTCTCTCTCTCCCCCCAGTGGGAGGGCTTCAGGAGCCCACAGTATCTGTAACGGAGAAGTCCATCAAAGAGGTGATGAAGCTGGATGACGAGATCTTTTCAAAGTTCTACAGTCATGTGGATGATCTCCCTTGCACGTCAGACCGTGTTGATATTGACGATGACTTTGATGCCATATTTGGTCCTCAGGTTCCAAAGTAAGCAGATGACTTTCCTGTTCAAGTGGCATGTATTCCTTTTATAGCCTCCAAGATTCCATGCTAATGATTATAGCAAATAGGGTAAGGGCTGAGTGGAAAGGAAACTTGTTTTGTTGATCTGTTTCTTAGCTTATCCATTCCTTTGTGTGGGTCTCCATTGAACTGCCATAACAGCTAATGGCATAAACAAGTGTCTCAGGATTTATTCCACTGAATAGCTAATAAGAACAAGCTTTTGTCTAAGCTTACCATCTTGCATGATTTCCAAATCCAGAGAGTCTGCGTCCTTAAGCTTTAGTTGCCTTCCCTGGTTACCATGGTGATATGTCCATGACCCCAACTTGTCTCGTCCAGGCTGACCTCAGCCATGGTAGAGCACAAGCGGGCTGTGCGACCAGTCCGTAATGTTCAGGCATCTCGGAACCCTCTGAAGATCCTGGCAGCACGCAAGGACATCCGTCACGAGTACACAGAGCAGCGGCTCAACATCGGCATGCTGGAGTCCCAGAGGGTGAAAGCTGAGAAGAGTAAGTCTTAGGGGTTCAGCCTTTTTCAAACTGTGAATATACGTGGAAATATTTGGCTGAAAATCTCCTGAAACCCATTGCATCAGTCTTATTGATTTGCCCTGCCACACCTCTGTCACCCAGTGGGAAAGAACTCTGGTTATTCCGAGGTGGCACTGGCAGGCCTGGCCAGCAAAGAGAACTTCAGCAGTGTCAGTCTCCGTAGCGTCAACTCCTCCGAGCAGACATCCAACAACAGCGCAGTGCCCTACAAGAAGCTCATGCTTCTGCAGGTCAAAGGTGAGGTTGATGGCCCAAGCATGGCACTGAGCAGATCATGAAATAACAAGCACATATGCAGTCATTTGTAGAACACAAGGCCACCAGGTGCTGGCTTGTCTCAGCTGTAAGTCATGGAATCAATCTTGCAGAGGCCCGGAATCCAGCTCAGTCTTCCTTTCTGGTGGAGTACTAATTGGAGTGTTTGACAGAACTTCACTAGTCCTTATAGAGCTGTAATACACAGTGCAGTGTTGCAAAGTAATACAATTCCATAAATTGTTTCAGATAATGTGTTGTTCTTGTAAGGCCCTGCCTAACACAGACCATTACTGTTCAGGCTGAAGGAAGCCTTGTTCCTCTTATCTGCATCTTCCGCTCGCTGCCTGTGTTCTGAGAGACCGTTGCCCTAGAAGACTTAGACTATGTGCAGCCATGTGGAAAACACAGGCAACATTAATTAGATTTATAAATAAGAGAACTGTTATGGGCTGGTCAGAGGGGAGTGTTTCAGATTATTTATATTTTTGCTGCACAGCATAATGAGCTAATTTGTTCTTGCCAGAGAAGTTGGGGTGCCTGTGTCTCTGATGTTTCTGGGACAGCTTGTCACATGATACCATGTCCTGATTTAACTTGTTTTAACTTGTTTATCTTGAATGTTCTGGCCGATCAGTTTGGTGTCCGCCTCCTCGCTGGGTAGGGGTGTTGACACTAAGTTGGAACCCTGAAAGCAGGACATGTACACGTGTTGAGAGAGGCCTGTATGTGACGCTACGGTTACTGTGTTGGGGTATCAGCAGCCCGGAAGTCCCACCTTTCTTCTGCAAAGTGGTGGTTTGTCGGGAAATTGGATCAAGGAAGCAGTAAGAGCATGTCTTATGCTCGTCTTTCTTACAGGCCGTCGACACGTCCAGACCAGGCTGGTGGAGCCTCGCGCTTCTTCTCTGAACAGCGGCGACTGCTTCCTCCTCATCTCTCCCCACCACTGCTTCATCTGGTCTGGGGAGTTTGCAAACGTCATTGAGAAGGCTAAGGTCAGCCGGCTGCTTGATGAAGCTGCTGAGGCCTCCCATTTATATTCTATTGCCTTTAGTTGGGTGGAGTAGTGGCTCTAAGGCTATGGATCTGTGGCAGCAATCGTAAGGTTGCTGGTTTGAATCCCGTGAATGCCTGGAGTGATCCTACTCCCCTGGGTCCTTGAGCAAGGCCCTTAACCTGTAATTGCTCAATTTTGGGGGTGACGTTAATCTGTGTCCAACCCTGCAAGGAGGTCCTCCAATTTACAGGGAAATTTGGGGGTTGGTGGCTGGATTGGCACTCCAGCCACTGGAAAAAACTCACACTGGAGTAATGTGGTGCTGAGGGTATCACCCACTCTCATCACTCAGGTGGTTTGTTGTGTGGTGGGTGTGGCAATGCACTGTAATCACTGCACGCTCTGTACATTTTTAATGGTTCTTCACATCAACAAAACTTCAGCATGTGATGTTTTTCATTCAAATCCTATTTCTGTAGCTTCTATTTTTCTTTTCAAACTTGTCTCCAAAAATACCAAAGGTGACAAGTGTTTGCAAGAATGCATACATGTGCTGGGGCTGTCATACAATGTAAAACTTCCAAAAAGTGATCAGTGCCACAGCAGCCCTAAGGTCTCTGTGTAGGAGCCTCACATCCATGTAAACACATTTGGTCATAGTAGATCTGTTAGATGACTTCCTGCAGCTGCTAGAGGAAACAGTGCTCAACTGGATGTCTAAATCCAGTTACGGAAGGATCATTCCCTGCATTCATACCCTATGCAGGATGGAGCTGTCTGAGGCCACATGAGAGAAGTGTTTACAATAGACAACATTCACTAAATGGACTTGTTGGTTCAGCAAGGAGGTTATTGAATATAGAGGACTGAAACGATGCCTGTATGCTGGACTGTTTTGGCTTTGCTGAATTCCTATTACAGTCTATAGAGTTCAAAATCCCTCCCAGATGTGGGGGAATACTCCAGAAGCAGGAAGCCACCTGGGTTGTGGCACAGGAAGTGACCTGCAAGGACAAGACTGCAGGAAACTGCATCTAACACATTGATGTGCTTCCACTGTCTTGCATAGACCATGACCAAGCTCGCTGACTAACAGGATATCGATTCCTGTCCCCATCTGTGTCCAGTCATGCCCCCACCCACCACTACCAGCTAAAACAAGGCGCTCTTCCATTCTGATCTTGTTTTATTAATTGTGCGCATTTTCAGTGATTAGTCTATGGTAAGCCAACGTATACTGTTGAGTCTTTGTTCACACCTGACTTGCCCTCCCATTCCCCTTTAGGCCAGTGAACTTGCCACATTTATCCAGAGCAAACGAGACCTGGGGTGCCGAGCCGTTTGCATTCACACCATCGAGGAGGGAATTAACACTCACACACATGCATCCAAAGAGTTCTGGAAGATTTTGGGTGGGCAAGCCAGCTACCAGGGTAAGTGCTATCAATTGACTCAATCCCTATGATTTGTGATGCAAGCATTCCTGTTGAGTCTTGATAGCCGTCACATCAGTTAAACGAGTTAAATTGATTGTTATGCAAACACACACAGCTGATATAACTCAGCCTAATAGGGACAGATTGAAGAACCACAAACCAAACAAGGTTTAATCAACTTGTATAATCAATGTTGATTTTCACTTTTTGGATTACTGAAGCTTTTCTCAGAGTGAGTTGCGCACTGTACTTTTTGGCAAGAGCTACTTTCCTGCCCTCCAGCTGCCGGGTCACCTGAAGAGGATGAGCTGTACGAGAGTGCCATCGTAGAGACTAACTGCATCTACCGCCTATTGGACGATAAGTTGGTGCCAGATGATGACTTCTGGGGGAAGGTTCCTCGATGTTCTCTGCTAGACTCTAAAGAGGTATTTTATTTATTTTTTTTAAAAGTATGCTCTTCACCCCTGCCTGTACTGTCTATGATGGCATGTTTATTTTTACTTGTTAGCTTTGTCACCTGTATAAAACTAGTAGATCCAACCCCAAAGTCTTCATAGACTCCATCCTCTAGACTTAGGCCCAAATGTGTGTTTTTCCTAAATTAGCACCATTCAAGTTTCTTTGGAGACATTGCCCTAATATGCCCCCCCCCTCTCCCCTCAGGTGCTCGTGTTCGACTTTGGAAGTGAGGTGTATGTGTGGCACGGTAAGGAGGTCACACTGGCACAAAGGAAGGTGGCCTTCCAGTTGGCCAAGCACCTATGGAATGGTACCTTTGATTACACCAACTGCGACATCAACCCCCTCGACCCAGGGGAGTGTAACTCCCTCATTCCCAGGCAAGCTCCTCCTCTTCCCAATTTACTCACCCTCTACCTTCCTAACAGTGGCGCATGACTGAGTGCAGTATCACATAGTGAAACCATGTTCAGGTTTTGTTGATCACAGCTAGCATGCAAATCCCATTAGGAAGACTTTTAAACAAAGTAAAAGCCTAAGTGCTATTTGGGCTTTGAAAGCATCTGTCTCAGAGGACTTCAGAAGTAAGCTTTAGTCATTTAGTTGGAATGGGTCTACTTAGCACTGGAGTTGATATGAACAGCTTTTTGACCACAATGGCCTTTATCAGTTGGTTTCCAAACGGTAGTTCTGGAGGGAGCTGATCAATTTCTGCTAGCTGTCTGTGCCTGGTGTTCCTATATGCATAACCAGTATCGCTGTAGGCAGCAAAATATCTGTCTGCAGGGTTTGAGCCTGCATGGAGGCCAGTGCCCCATAGCTGGTTTTGACTGGGTGGTTGTGCCTGTTTAGGAAAGGACAGGGTCGCCCTGATTGGGCGATCTTTGGCAGGCTCACAGAGCATAACGAGACCACCCTGTTCAAGGAGAAGTTTCTGGACTGGATGGACTCGAAAAAACAGCCAGCCAAAAATGGCACCGAGAGGCCCAGTGATGAGAAGGTGGGTGTGGGTGTGATCTATAGTTTACACTGTGGCAACTAAATGTCCTCACAATGTGATAACCTGTTGTTTTTATGTCGTTGGGACCATTTTTTTCAATCACCACAAAGCAAAACTCAGTTTTATAAAAATGTGTGACTGCCATCAAAACTAAAAATGTCAAAAGTCTTGTTTTTTTGTTTGGTTACTTATGGTTAAGGTTACGGCTGGGTAGGGGTTAAGGTCATCGTGTTGGGAATGGACGGTCCCCCCAAAGGTGGGTGCGTGCGTGCGTGCACGCATGTTCCTTATTGGGTTGAAATGGTCAACCTTTAGCCAACAGTGGCAGTCAGATGATTACTAACTGATAAACAGCAAGGTACCCAGAGACGCTATAGTATGACCTGGGAGATTGAGGTCACTCTTCTTCTTCTTATTATCTGTTAAAATTGCTCTTTCAGAACAATCTGATGAACAGCCAACTACTCATGTGATTCTTCCAACATGACTACTTTAAATATATTTGCAGAGCAATTTATTGCTGCTTGGTATAAATTGTGGCATGTGCCTAGTTGGTTAGAATGCTATGTCTGTGTTTGGAAGGTCATCTGTTCAAATCCTAGAGTCAGTAGAGTGATTCTCTCACTGGGCCCTTGAGCACGGCCCTTAACCCCAAATTGCTGACCCTGCTTTCTCAACTGTATGTCACTTAGGATAAAAGCACCTGGTAAATAAACAAAATGTAATAGTTTGTGATATTTACAAATACGATTTTGTGTATTGCTCAGTCCTCTGAGGTCCTGGGCTCTGACCATCAGCCGTACGACGCCACGCTTATGCTGTCCCAGTTACGGACACCCGTGACGATGCTGCTGGAGGGTGTGGATGTGGGCCGGGGCTACGGCTCGGTGGAGGGGGAGGACCAGCGGCGATTCGAGCTGAGCACGCTGGCCGTGGACGTGTGGCACATACTGGAGTTCGATTACAGCCGGCTGCCCCAGCAGAGCATCGGACAGTTCCACGAGGGGGACACGTACGTCGCCAAGTGGCGGTACATGGTGAGCGCGACAGGTCAGTAGGTCCCCGTCATGTCATTAGCTCAGAATAGGATACATAAGTGTCAGGATTGTCAAAAGTTCCCGATGCTTCTTGGATACATTCATCACTCGGGTTTTAAAGCCTTGATTCTCCATTTCAACAGCATAAGATAGGAATTTATCCACCACGCAAGCAGATTTACCCCCCCCCCCTTCAGACTGAGTGATTCGGGTCGTATGTCAAGTGCCTGTATTTTGCTGGCAGCGTGAAGCCTTGGCACCTGCTTTTTAGATTTACTGTCCCGTCCTTGACATCATGGACCTGAATGACCTTTTTATTTTTGTTGCAAGCCAGTGGAAAATCGCGTGTAGTACTACACCCCCCCCCCGCCCCCCAGCCTTTCCCTTCATAACGCACCATGCTTGTTTGAAACCAATCTTCCCTCCGTGGGCCATATAAAGAGAAATTGAAATGGATCATGTTTACCTATTGCTGAGTGTTTAGGTAATTACGTTGCCCGTAGTGTAAACTGCCATTACCCCAAACATGGCCGGGAGGGAGGGGAAAGCTGCAGGATGATTATTTTGTAGTACGGGCCCGTTTGCTCAGTCAGGATGATGGATGGCGGGTACTCCCCTCAAATGATGCAGCGTCTGGAAGGGACTGTGAAAGGTCCACCAGCTTGTGTGCAGGTCCCCACCAGGTGCTGTTCTCAATCAGAATCAGAGAGATCTTTATTGGCGAATTATGGTAAACATACCAGGATCGACAGAGTAGTAGAGCGTTTGATATTGAGGGGGACCCAGCTTATAAATAAAACGATCTGTGTATTCGGAGGGATGAATTTATCCAAATTAAATACTGGGGAAACTCGTTCCTCTGGTTTCTGTGAACCTCTCCAGTATAACATGTCACATTTAAGGTCATTCAAGACCATTTGAAAGTATGTACACCTGGAATTTTACACTTTAAACGCTGTCAGGAGCTGCATGGGATGGAATGAAGGGTGAAATAAGCAGGGATTGTAAGTAAACAGGTGATGCTAGGATGAGTTGGAGGATGACAGCTGACTGAAGTGCAAAGTGTCTTGTTTGCAGACCAGTTATTGTTGAGGGATACTGCTGTGGGAACAAAGCTGTCCTTGTGCTTGCTGGTTTTGGCTTTGATGTTCTTGTACCTTTAAATAGCTTTTTGTCTTTCCACGTACTAAGCCATGGGATGTGTGTGGAATGTTTGCTGTCTGACTCTCTTAATCTCTGCTGTAGCTTAGCTTGCTATTCACAATATTTGTGTCTGAATCTATCATGTCAATTGTTTTAAGTACAGTCCCTAAAGGCTAATGAGAGGTAGAAACAGAACCCATTAATTGCTTACTTTTTGTACCCTGCAGTGTGGCAAATGCAGAATGTCCTTAAATAGAACAAGCTTTTAAGGAAATAGTTGCATTGGAGGATATTGAAAGAGATGCACTATGGGTAATGTAGTTTTTCCTGTATCTGTCCATGTGCAGTCGGGAAGAGGCAGAACCCTGAGCAGGGGCGTGTGGCGGCAGCCGGGAAGGAGAGGTGCTGCTACTTCTTCTGGCAGGGCCGGCACTCCACGGTGAGCGAGAAGGGCACATCGGCACTGATGACCGTGGAGCTGGACCAGGAGCACGGGGCGCAGGTTTGTCCCACCACTCCTCCCCGGAAGCCCTGGAACCTCAAAGCCATTTATATTAAGCTTCAGCTTTTTTGTTTGTTGAAATGCATTGTGGGACAGCATCTTGAGTCTAATATTGAATGCCTTTTTTAAAAAACATGAGCCCCCTTTTGATGGAGGTGCATGATAAGATCTGCCCCCACCTAGGTCCAGGTACAGCAGGGTAAAGAGCCCCCCTGCTTCCTGCAGTGCTTCAGCGGAGGAATGATAGTGCATTCGGGAAAGAGGGAGGAAGAAGAGGAGAACGTGCAGAGTATGTGTCATCTCTGTCACCATGGGGACCATTCATGAGGGACGGGGCAGGGGTAGAAGTGGGTGTGGTCAGTGCTGCGGCTCTGTCACCATGGGGACAGCAGGCACGGTAATGCACATCGAACTGCTTTGGTCTGGGGATGTGATTCTTCTGCCCTCTGCTTGTAGTGACATGTTTTTCTCTTGTGTAAACCAGCAAATTTCATTAACGTCTGTCTGCAGCCTTTGCCAAACTGTACAAGCATGCAGCTGGAATAAAGATACTGATTTTGAAGTTAGTCTTCATTAAATCCAGAACAGCTTCTAGTATGGCATCTGGGGTCACAGCGATTTAAACTATCCTAAACTAATTTTTTATGACTGATGAGAGAAATGCAGATTTAAAAACTATATTCTGAATTTATAAGCCCTGTCAGTCGCTGTCTAGTTTAATCGAAAATGTTAAGTAAATGGAGCAAATCACAAATGGTCCCACCCACTGACTGCATCTAAGCCTTATTTCCCTCACCAATCAGATGAGTGGCGGCTGTACTGTGTACGCGGCGAGGTTCCAGTGGAGGGCCACCTGCTGGAGGTGGCATGTCACTGCAGCAGCCTGCGTTCCCGTACCTCCATGATCCTGCTTAGCGTGGAAAAGGCCATCATCTACCTGTGGCACGGCTGCAAGGCCCAGCAGCACATGCGTGACGTGGGCTGTACCGCTGCCAACCAGATCAAGGACCAGTAAGTGTCGCTTCCTACAGGAAATAAGATGCATGTCACCAAGGAGTGTGTTTTGTAGACTAAACGGAGGAAACTTGTGTCCATACCATAAACTGAAATACTTGTGGTTTTATTCCCTCCAAAATTGACTTTCTAATAGGGCTGGGTGACAAAGCAAGATATTTTACCACAACAGTTTTTTCATATTGGTTGATGTTGCTAATTATCATGATCTAATGCATCATTGTTTACAATGATGCTTAGGGTTCCCCTTAAACAGATTTTCCTTAAACAGAAAATGAAAAAGATGGCAAATTGAATGGCCTGCAAACTGACATCAAGTTTTAATAAATCATAGTTAAATACACACAAACACACTCGCATGCATTTTAACACTAACAATATACTGACAGTTTGGTTTATTCGTTTTTGGGTTTTTTTCCCCATCTTACTGCCTCGCTGCTCCTTACTGGGGGCGGGGTGACTTGTGCTGGTTGCCAGACACATCATATTGATAAATTAAAACACTGTATCCCATTCCGAACCAATACAGGAAGTGACTGAAAGTTGCAACACTAATTGCTGGTGTCTGTGACTGTAAACACTTGCATTTTGTATGTTCTACATTATGACAATGCTTCAAATGATGAAATAAATTCATAGTATTTCCCAGTTAGTCAGCGTCAGTCTGTAGCGTGTCATGGGCTTTTTTAAATTGCCAAAGTACCACCACACCATCTTTAGTTGGTTTATCAAAAGTATCTCCTTTTAAAAAAGATGTGGCTGCTGACACGATAGCAGCTTCCTCTGATGGAGCGCTTCTCTCTCCTCTCACTCCTGTGTAGCATGTGCGCTGCTCATGAACCTTGCTCTGCGTTTGTTGTGCATTGGTTGTCCATTCTCAAGACTGACTGGCAGCAGGCCAGGTTATTTTAGTCAGCATTGACAATATGCCACCGCTTGCATTCTTCCTAGAGTTTTTAAATTCTCAGTGGATTACTGTGTGGATTTCTAGTGGACTGAATATTACTGTGAATTTTCGTTTTGGATTTCGCTGGATTGCCCTAATTGGATGGGTTGCTTTGGATTTACCTGCTCCCCCAGTAATATTCCCTGTTGTTTTGACTCTCGTCTTTCATCTGCCTGCCCTATTGCATTCACTTATTTGTTCAATAAATCCCCTGTTTGTGTTTTTACCGATGTTTCTGCAGTTGTGCTCCATTGCCGGTCCTGCAGTTACAGAAGAAGTAACGTCATTAAATTGGGTCTTAAAGTACATCTAACTTTTATCAAGCGTTTATTATATTAATATCAAGCAAATTATATTGCAATAATTATTGTTTTATTGCCCAGCCTACTTTCTAATCATTGTGCAAAATAGATATGCCACGTGGCAATCATCCAAAACATCATCTGAAGGTGTAACTTTGTGGGAATTTATAATTAAACATCACTGACCGACGACTATAATTATTGAGTCCACAGCTTTTATTTATTATTCAGTCCGGATGCCTTCATAACAGATGTGCAACTTTCTAAGCGACGTTGTGGTTCAATGTGGGGAAATGACTTGGGCCACCTTGGGTGATGTGTGTGCTCTCTGGATCACAGATGCCCCCTGGAGACAGGCCTGCACAACAGCAGCAAAGTGACCATCCACGAGTGTGATGAGGGGGCGGAGCCCACAGGCTTCTGGGAGGCAGTGGGCAGAAGGGACCGCAAGGCCTACGACTGCATGCTGCAAGGTAGTCAGAATTCGAGCATTCGGGTTAGCTTTCGATGCCCCGCCTCCTTTGGGTGGGGGTGGGGCTTCTGCCAATCTTGAGGTGCAATTTGTAAATCAGTGATGTTTTGCAATTTTTTCAGTTATTGTACCCGCTCATCTGCATGCCACGCAAGCTCAGATACTGTATTCTGATTAGCATGGACAGTAGCTGGGAGTTCATTGCTATGGAAATGGCTCAGGGGTGAACACCGGAGCACTGACCCCACCTGAAACCTGATTGGCCCCCACAGTGCCCCTCCCCTCTCACTTACTGATTCAAAACGTATCATTTGGCTAATGATATGGTTGCCTCGTCTGTGTATGAATTATGGTCCTTCTTCTGCCGCCACCCCCCCCCCCACCACCTTAAAAACAATCCAAGAACTACCTCTGCTATGACTGTAATTAGCGGGAGTGAGCTTGTGGTTTTGGTGTGGCGCCCAGCTGGGATGGCCATACTGTAGGTGCAGGCTGCCCATGACCCACGCCGATCTCCATTCCCTGTGCTCTCAGATCCGGGGAAGTTCAACTTCACGTCGCGGCTCTTCCAGCTAAGCAGCTCATCAGGGGAGTTCACCGCCACAGAGTTGTTCTACCCCGCCAGAAGCCCTGAGCTGGTCCACTCTCTGCCCTTCCTGCAGGAGGACCTGTACTCCGCTAGCCAGCCAGGTATTCACATCGCCCCCGTATCACTGACCACATCATAGACCTGCTGGGGTAAATGGGCCCCATACTCAAGATTTTCAGGTTGTACCTCATCACAGCAGGAAGTCTTATCCTGCAAATTAGAATGTATAATTTACTAGGCGCAGCTTCTGTTCCAATAAGCTTATTGATGCTTGTTTGTGTATGAGCTTCTGAGTTAACTTGTATGTTCTTAACTTTCATAAGTTATCAGCTTGGGTGTTCTGGCCTGTATTGAAGATATGGAAAAACAAATCACTATGGCTCTGTGTAGATAAGGTTCTTTTTCTGGTTCTTTATTTCATGCTGTTCCGCAGCCATGTTCCTCGTGGACAACCATCACGAGGTGTACCTCTGGCAGGGCTGGTGGCCGCAGGATGCTGAGGCCACAGGCTCTGCCCGCATCCGCTGGGACACGGATAGGAAGTGTGCCATGGAGACCGTGCTGCAATATTGCAAAGGTATGTTGCTCTCTGGAATACGTTCTAGAATACACAGTCAATCATTGTGAAATCTAACAGAGGAATTCGATAGAGTAAAATGATGGGGGCAAGTTTGCAGATCCTGTGCCTCATGAAGGAGGGCTGACTTTGACCCTTCTCTGCATGTTCCTAGAGTAGATCTGACCTAACCTTTTTGGTCCTTCTCAGAGAAAAATGAGAAGAAGCCCCCCAAGGCGTATCTGATCCACGCTGGTCTGGAACCCCTCACCTTCACAAATATGTTCCCCAGCTGGGAGCACCGAGAGGATATTGCTGAGATCACAGAACGGGTGAGCATAATCGAGAAGCATACCTAGCTCTGGTTCTATCATAACCGTGATGAATGGCCATTGTGTGCTTACCTCCTACCCCGGTCCTACCAGGAGGCCGAGGTGTGCCAAGAAATCATCCTAGTACAGGACGTGCTGGCCCGGCTCTGCAAGGCCAGCTACCCACTGGCCGAGCTACAGGCACGTCCCCTTCCAGAAGGTGTAGACCCTCTTCACCTGGAGCTATACCTGTCAGACGAGGACTTTGAGGTGAGTCTTGGCTCAGCCGCCTTATCTGTGTATGACTGACACTGACCCGTCTCTTCAGCATGGTAGACTGTGACATTAGTAGCTGGTCTTTTAATGCAATGCTTAAGGACACAAGTGAGTAGCAGAGCTTGATAGGTTTCAGCTGATGAACTTGTTCCTTTGCACTGACTGACCAGTGAAATAGCGGTGAGTTACTCCACTAGGAGTTCATTTATTTGGCTGGCCCCTGTACCCGGGCCCCACCAGGTGGCTGGTTTGCTCATGCTTCAGACCTGTTACATTGCAATTTTGTCCAGGAAATAAATGTGCAATCAACAGCAAAGCTTTGACCCAAAGTCATTTTGCCAGACTAAATCTGCCATCCTGTACTTTGACAGATCCCTCCTTTTTGTTTGTGCTTGTAAGGTTGTATTGAGTAATTGTTTTGGTTTAAAGCTTGTGTGTGGAAGGACAAAGAGTCTGAAACAGAGTGAATCTTGGTCTCAATGTCTGAAGGGTCTATTTCAGGGTCTTCACTGTACCCAAGCTTAACGCTTCACTTCACCTTTCAGGGCATAGGGGCTTCTGGGAAGGTGAGTTTTTTGTTGCAGTGAACACTGGTGGGTCCCACACACTGCATCCCCAGTCATGGGTGACCTTCCCCTTGCTTTTGACCCATCACATCTGACCTTCCCCCACTCCACCATCTCTAACCCAGAAAGGCGTGAATTTACTGCAGTGCACCACCGGTGCTCTTCCCGGTGCTTATCCTGCATGGGTTCTCAGGCGTTTGGGCTTGCTGGTGTTTGTTGAACGTAGTTGTGTTTCCTACATCTGAGATTAGGGACCATATGAGTGAAGAACTCTGACTTGGTGTTTGAGAAGAATCCACAATTACAAGTGGTCTTGACATCAAAAATGAAGCATGACACTCATGTGAATTTATAATTTCTGACCTCATGAACTCATTTGATGTCCCACAAACTACTTGAACTGGTTCTTATTGACTTCTAAAGGCTATAATCTGTATTGACAGTTTGCTTTCCCCTTTTTTTAAAACGTTGCACTGCATGTGGTGAAGGATTTCAGTCCTGAGGTGACATGTTGGTGTCCTAAGACCCGAAGCTGATACGTCCGTGTGAATTTAAGTAGCTACTGAGGAACGTGAAGTTTTTCCCCATCCGATAGAAGGGAGACGCTAAACTTGTCGAATCGAGCAGGAGAGCCATTGACATTTTGGGAGGATGGCGCTATTTCCTGTGCATTTATTCACTGTTCTTCTTTAATTCTTTTAATCTTGACCGTTTGCTTTGGCAGAAAGCTCTGGAGATGACGAGGGAAGCCTTTGAGGCTCTGCCAGGCTGGAAGCAGGTGAAGCTGAAGAAAGTCAAGGGACTGTTTTAGGCCACCCTGGCCTCCCAGCCCCCCGACTGTCACTGGGGTTTCTCTTAGACCCAATCTGCCACTGAGATCACTTTATCCCCTTCCTGCCTAAGCCCTGATTGGATGGCTCAGAGGCAGACCCTCCTGAGTGGCTCATGGCGTGAGGTGGGGAGGGAGAACCAATCGGGAATGTCCATCTCCAGAGGTGTGTCAACTTCCTGCAGCTTCCTTGTGTTTGTTGTTTTGTTTTTATTTTAATTTTTTTTTTGTTTGTTTTTCCTTCTCCTGGTTTAGTGAGAGAACCTTAATGCTGAGGCTGGATTTCCCAGTTCAGTGTATTTTTATTGTTTTTTTTTTTGTTTGTTTATACATGTGTGTGTAGTATCTCATGCACTTACGTACCAGCCGCACCGTGTGCTGTTTGCCCCTCTCTGAGAAACGTCTCTAAGGTTTATTTCTTTGCGTGATCGATCGTGGTTTTCACCATAGAAAAGCAGAAAGAAGTGTTTGGGTGTTTAACATGTGGAAGGATGCTGCCCCCTGTTGGAGTATTTGTGCAACTTGCGCCATGTCCTGCTTCACGCAGTATGACTTGTCCTTGGCTGTCTTTGTCATGCCAGCCCCTCCCCCCAACCCCTGGCCGCACCCCTTTAACCTCTCGGATGCTGAAGTCAAAGAATTTTGTATTTAATGCCATGGGCTTGCTGGGGGGGGGACAAGTGTTTCTATATGAATTCTATAATGTATAGTGCCTTGCTTTTGTGTACAGTTTATATACAAAAGGATATTAGTCTAAATTTTGAAGACTTTCTTTGTGATAAAGGAAATGGAAAAATAAACGCTGAATATTGCGAAAGTCAGTAGTTTGTGGTCTTTCATGCATAAAATGTGTTCTGTGATTAGTACAGGGCAAGAAATGCTTTTGCTGGAATTGTTCTCTGCTGTAAAACTGGACCTTTTTTATAAGGTAAGACAAATTACCTTGTGAATATTTAGTGGGGGGCAGGTAGAATGATGTGTAGAATAGCTGTTCCTCCCCCACCTCCCCAAATGGTAGTATCTTTATACCCCTCAGTGGCCTTTTGGTAATTTTAGGGGTGTTAATCTTCTCTCCAACCTTTGAAAACCAGCAGGAGGAACCATGAAATGGATTGACCCATCCTTCGGTCTCTAAACTCAGTTCATCTGCAGGACCTGTGTTTCTATGATGGCCAGCAGGGGGCGCTGGAGGTCTTGTAATCACAGCAATGAGTATGGCCCAATCCTGTGTGTGGTAACCGTGAGCTGCATTCCCTCGGACAGAGGAGATCATGTGTTTACTGTTGGTGTCAAAACTATCACTTTGTCCTGCTCAGCACAGTTTAAACCATCATTTGATTGCATTTCTTTGTACCTTGTAAATGTCAGTTAATGGTTTGGTAATTGAGCCGTTAAAGACTGTTGTCTGTTCCGTATTTGCATGGTTCCTGTCTCTCCATGTCTGCCTTATTTGGTAAATTCATTATGTTGCCGGTAATCAGTTTCCAAGCTTGTTCCTGAAGCAGCCGCGTTGATTCGTTATCCCATGTAAACTTGACGCGACTCTGCATTCCCGCCTGCATGCCGGTGGATGTGAAGGCATGGAGACCAAATCCATTTATGGGATAAAACAGTTGTGGTTTATCGCAAGCCCATGTGGTGAATTCGAAGGCAGCATGCAGCAGTGTCATGCAGTGCTGCTCGTCACAGGCAGTGCTGCTCGTCACAGGCAGTGCTGCTCGTCACAGGCAGTGCTGCTCGTCACAGGCAGTGCTGCTCGTCACAGGCAGTGTTGCTCGTCACAGGCAGTGCTGCTCGTCACAGGCAGTGCTGCTCCATGCCGCTCATCGCATGCGGGCCGCAGCATGGTGTAGGCGGAGGGGACAGATGTAAGGAGAATGCCACTAGGAGGCTGCATGACGCCAAAGCCGGTGCTCAGGTTCTGATGTTCCGGGTCGGTGAGCACTAGCTCTCCTGACTCACTGGGAAGCCCCCCCCGCCCCCCAAATGTGCTTTCAGACCACTGCCAAAGCACACTGTGGGCACGGGGGCATTTTCACCACTTGACCACAGAAGCAGAAACGGTAACTAACGTGTCCGCACCGGTCTGCAGGAAGCTGTTACTGGCTGGCCTGCTGGGTCCCGGCTGATGGGATGGGAATGGGCTCTGCTACATGTGCGGTGGAGATATTAGAGCTTTGCAGGACTTTGGCACTCGAAATGGCCCCATTATGCTAAACCAGAGTGGGGGGGGAGGGAGTAGGGCTATTATATGCTCTATGGTGCACTAACATACCGAGCTTTTGCAATTTAATCAGACTGTTCAGCTCCAGCTTGCCGGCTTTCTGAGCCCGTGGCCAGTCTGGGGACGTGTCCATCTGCATAGCTTTGCGACCAATCCCACAATGCACTGTGGCCGCCCGCCTCTGCCGAGCCACCATACCTGTCAGCCTGATCCATATACCTGCCCTTTAAAGGTCAAACATTCCGGATGCACCAGCCGTTATTCAAAGTGTTTTAAAAACTCAGACCTAGTTTGATGCTTTAATATTAAACGTACAACCTTTACACTGCTGCCCGGACATTTGGGGTTGGGGGGGGTACAACTTTAAAACTATCTATATGTTTATTAGGTAGAATGCCGAAGGCTACGCAAACGGAGAAATTGTATTTTATTTATTTATTTATTTATTTATTTATTTATTTATTTAAACCTAATCTGCGTAATGTCGTATTGCCACTTTCTGAAGCCCAGCGTTGTCGTCCAGTCGAATCTGAGGAGGCCAGACTGGTCTGCTGGTGGAGGTGAGAAGGTTCGCTGAGGTCTCACTGAGAAGGGATTCCGCATCAATCGCTGATCATTGAAGCCCACTCCTGTAATGAGCTGAGTCTAGGAATTGGGGAGGGGGGGGTGGGTGAAGTGGCTTTTTCAGCATTTTACACACACTCGCGTAGGCCAGCCCTGTCCCTCCTCTGCCAGCAGTCCCAGGGCCTGTAAGAGGCCTTATTTTTTATAGCGCTCTTCAGGTTATATACTGCTGTATGAGTTGAAAGGTGACCAAAGCAGTCACATTTACATAAATCCACTTAGAGGTTAAAATGAATCCCGTCCTTTTATATATGGTGTTTAAAAGCTATTTAGGTTACCGGCCAATCTGTGCCTCAGAGACGCACTGTCCTGAGAAAGCGAGTCCTTTGGACTTTGGTGCTGTTCTACTATCAGTCTGTGATTCCCAGGTTTAGACCTGGTGTCCAACCTGCCTGGATTATGAGTGTACCTCGTGCCCCGGGCTTCTTGTGTGCCACAATGTGGTACGGGGTGCGTGGACTGCTTTCCCTAGTGGGGGAATGGATGATAAAATCCTCCTATAATCCCCCCCCCCCACACACACACACACACACACACACCCTAACCCTAACCCTATCTTATCTTTCTCTTGCAACTCCAAGCCTTCTCTGGGGAATGACACTGATATCTGTCTCCTACCATCACTGGCAGGTGAACATGTTTGTCACCGGGGGCGGTGCGCTCTTCTCGGAAGGGGGTGTGTGGGGGTGGGCTGTTGGGACTGTTCTTCAGTTTCCCTGTCTCACCGGTGATGTTCACTCCATGCCTATAACGGCCCTGTCACCCGATACCCACTGTGAGGCACTGTGGCCGCCCGCCTCTCATCAATCATCCACGGCCACACTGGACCAAACCATCCTGTCCAAAAGGAAAGGGGGAAGCCAGTCAGTGGAGGGTTGATTTTCACCAATGGGCAGAAGCGTCCTTCACGTGTACGGACCTGTAGTTTACCTGATGAGGCTCATGGTCATGACAACATGGCCCACAGACCGCAAGTCTGTCCCTCCCCAGCTGTGCTACGTGTGGTCCACGTGAACCCCCCCCCCCCCCCCGGCCACATACCTTCTGACGTCCAGCTGCTGTCGATCCATTATATTGATTAGTCCTCTGCAGTCTGTGGACCTGAGTAGCAACCCTGCCCTCATTGAGACGGAGAGTGGTATTTGGTGCTTGGCACCCCCTACCTTTTATAACTGAGGATGGGATCCTCCAGATATGACCGAATATGGTGGCGCTTATGGCCAGCGGTGACCTCTGACCTGGGGCTTCTTGTACTTCAGCCAAAAAGAACCTGCGCCACCTTTGAGCCACAGGTAGAAACACGCGGGTGAGATCAATATGTCGTGTACCGTAATTGAAGTGTCGGTAAACACAGCAGCTGGTCTTGTCACATTCCGGCATGACGCTGTGTGTCTAAACGGGAACACAGACGTCGGGGGGGACGCCAGCTCTGGCAGGCTCCTTGGCGGCACTTGGCCCATCTGCTGCTGCCAGACGAGCGCCATGTTTACGGTGACGTGCCCCCCCCTTTTTTTTTTTTTTTTTTTTTTTTTTTTTAAGCGTGGCTGTGCGCACCTGGCCCAGAGCCAGGTCCCGCGTTCCCACTGAAGGAATCCAGAAGAGGATGCAGAACACGTTAAAGCTGATAATTGGGGTTAAACAGCGCCGTTTCCGCTCCCCAAGCAGTGTGCTTCGTCCGTACTCCCCACTTCAACAAGACCCTTTCGATTTTATGTCCCCCTGGCCCGGAAAAATACACTAAGCAGCCTTTTTCCTGTCGACAAATGGAGGGAGCACCTCTATGCCCAGTGCTCAAATGATTTATGGCGAGTAAACGGTGGTCCAGTGGGAGTTTCCCCCCCCTTCTTGGTGGCACGCTGCACCTATTAACTCAGATTTAGCTGCTATCCTAGTGGCGTAGCTGAGCCCCCCCCCCCAAACGATTTATGTTGCGGCCAGGCTGGCCTTTTACCTTTCTTGACGACTTAAGACAAACAGACCTGTCTCAGCCAGTGTTCTGCCCACATGGTCGAGGTGAGGGAAAAGTCGTTTTAGCTCGTAGCCCCAGGACTTAGAGCAAAGCCCTGTGTCGACAACGATTCCCCATGGCAAAATAATGGGGACCTTTGCAGTTACTGGGGGATTAAAGTGCCTCTGCTTTGGGGGTTTCCCCACTTCATTATGTGGCTTTCACCTCATGAACAGACGGCCTCAAACACAGTGGTGGAGGTTTTGCTTGCAGTTGATTGGCCAACGGGTTTTCAGCCCTGCATTATCCTGGACACCATATGACTATTCAGGTTTCTGTGTACAGGAAACCACTTGCAGTTTTTGTTAGCTTTTCTCTCTCTGATCATCGTTTCACAATGCTGCCCTTTTCTTGTTTGGGTCCCCCCTCCCCCTCTTCACTGCATCGTAAGGCCATCCTCTCAGCTTACCCAAAGTCAGTACCATTTGTTGACCTGTCCGGCAGGATCAAACCTGTCTGTTTCGTATATCTGAACGAAAACTATAGTCGTGGCCAAAAGTTTTGAGAATGACACAAGTACTGGTTTTCACAAAGTCTGCTGCCTCAGTTTTTATGACCCCAGTTTGCATATACTCCAGAATGTTATGAAGAGTGATCAGATGACTTGCAATTAATTGATCCCAAATATCCATTTCCACTGCATTTCAGCCCTGCCACAAAAGGACCTGCTGACATCATTTTAGTGATTGTCTCAACACAGGTGAGAGTGTTGATGAGGACAAGGCTGGAGATCACTCTGTCATGCTGATTGAGTTAGAATGGCAGACTGGATGCTTTAAAAGGAGGGTGGTGCTTGAAATCATTGTTCTCTGTTAATCATGGTTACCTGCAAGGAAACACACGCAGTCATCACTGCTTTGCATAAAAAGGGCTTCACAGGCAAGGATATTGCTGCTAGTAAGATTGCACCTAAATCAACCATCATCAAGAACTTCAAGGAGAGGTTCAATTGTTCTGAAGA